CCAGAAGTCAAACTAATTTGAGTGAGAGAGATGTATTATCTACGGATATTATGATTTCTTCCGATGATGAGGATACGGATAGGACTATGTCACGGAGAGATGGTATATTCTCACTTTTGTCGGATAGTGAAAACTCCCCTCCTAAGAAAAGGACTGTTTTGTCAGCTAGAAATAGGAATAAGTCTGGTCAATTTACACCGGAGGTACGAAGTAAAAGATTCATTTCTATTAGAGAAAAAGAAGAACTGAAAGAAGAACTGAAACTGAAGAGGAAGTCTCACATCAGGGGCCTAGATATATATAGTCTATATAAAAAAGGTAAAGTCAACATTACCAAAGCCAAAGAGGATGTAGAAGATTTGAATGGAGACCAGTTGGTGGATATGGTCACCGAACAAATGGCGGAAGTATTAAGAGTCGCTATGACTTCCTCCAACTTAAAAGGAGTTTTTCAAAAGTCGCTGAAACTGGCAGCCGCGAGGTCGATGGGATGTATCCACGCACTGAGGGAGAGAACGAATAATACGAAGAGTGAGAATTATTTGGACGAAATAAGATCACTTAAAAGAGAAAATGCCTCCTTAAGGAAAAAGATGGAGGATGAAGTGGAGGATGCTAGAAGAATGGCATTACAAAATGAGGGTCAAGCTCACGCGTACCTGAGCGAACTTAATGACTTAAGGAAGAAGATAGACCATCCTAAAAAGAAATTTCCAAGTCTAAATAAAGCATATAACCGAGTAGAAGAAACTCCAGAAGGTACTTGTGATTCTCCTAAAAAGACAACCCGTAAAACTGCGGAGAGGAGACTACAAGTAAAAAGGACATTGTCGACGGATTCTGATACTGAGAGCCCTAGAGTAAAACTGGATCCTCCCGAACATTGGCCAGAGGTGAGGCGCCCTATGATCGGTGGTAAGAGCAAAATAATTGAAGATAATCCTGAATTACAAAAACTTATTTACAAAGAGTATTTAATGGAGGAGGAAAAGAGGGATAGTAAGAACAAAAATAAAAAGAGGAAAAATAAAGAAGATACTTCGCCAAAGATCGTTTCGGAGTCAACCTCGTGGACTCTTGCGGAAATTATCAGGGAGACAGTAATTAAGGAGTTAGATAAAAAATTGGGAAATAAACCCAACAAGGAAACAGATAGGAGGAAAGAAAGAGAGGATAATTCAGAAAGACTGAAATTTAATAAACCACGTATCATCTCGATAATTGAACCAGAGTCTAAAATAGAAATTAGGAGAACCAAGGAAACAGAAAAACAAACCCCGAAGAAAGAAGAGTCCTGGTCTCGGGTAGTAGGCAGAAGGGAAAAACAAAGGAATAAAGAGGATCTCAGAAAAACAGAAGAGAGAAATCAGACAATAGGTAATAAGTTTTTATTAAAAGATAAAAGAAGGATACCGAGAACAGCAGCTGTACAGATCAGCTGTCGTGAGGGTACTCTGTTTGCCGACGTACTAAGGGAGGCGAAAGAAAAGATCGATATAGACAAAATAGGTATTCCAGAGATCCGTCCTAGAAGAGCTAGATCTGGAGCCCTCTTGTTGGAAATCCCTGGCAATGATGGTATAATTAAAGCCAACGAATTAGCTAATAAATTAAGAGAAGTGCTCCAACACAATGACAAGGTATTGATATCTAGACCAGAGAAGATGGCTGATATAAGGATTCGGGACCTGGATGACTCTACATCTAAATCCGAAGTCGCAAATAGACTGGCAATAATTGGAAGTTGTGACATTGGAAATATTAAGGCCGGTGAAATCAGTAAATCATTAAATGGTTTGGGCTCTCTTATAGTTAGGTGCCCCTTAGTTGCGGCTAAAACGATAACCAAAACCCCCAGAATAAGAGTAGGTTGGTCATCGGTTAGAGTTGAGTTACTCCCAGAAAGGCCTGCACAATGTTATAGATGTTTAGAAACTGGACATGTCAGAGCACAGTGCAAAAACGAAAGGGACAGAGGATCTCTCTGTTATAGATGTGGAGAACCTGGCCATACTGCAAGGGGATGTGCAAATCCCGTCAACTGTGCGGTTTGCTCGAGTAAAGGCAGAAGATCAGATCACCGAATGGGGGGCCCGGCGTGCAAACTTCCATCTGATAAACGCACTCCAATGCGCGGAATCACAAAACAAGATAGGACCCGGATTACTTCGACTCCTATCACCATGGAAATGGATCTGTTGGATACCGCTCGTGAGGATAAGGAAATTAAAAAATCCAATTCAACAGATAGAAACCAAAGAGAGGGGAGTGTGATAAAATCTCTCGCTAAATGCAAGATCGACTCTAGTCTTGAAAACCTGGATCCTATCAACCCGGAGCCCACAACATCGACTCCAATGGAGACGGAGGTAGTTTACTTGGATGAAAACGTCCCAATGGACGATACCGTCCCAATGGAATACCCAATAGATGGTGAGGAATGGAATGAAGAAGATCCTATTAGAAACATTAAGGAAGATACTACGAGAAGGAATGATCAATTATGAAAATGACAAATAAAATTCTTCAAATAAATATTAATCATGCTAGAGATGGTCACAATTTAATGTTACAGCGAATGATTGAGGACGACTTTGCTCTATCTATTGTCCCAGAACCGTATATGATACCACAGGATAACCCACTGTGGTTCTCAAATGATACGGAGACGGTGGCTATTACATGGCGAAAAACAAAAGATCCTCTCCCATGTATTCCTTTGGAGAAGGGAAAATATCACGTCGCAGTCAAATGAGGAGACTCCATAATTATTGGAGTCTATTGGTCTCCCAACATAATAATGAAGGAAGTCGAGGATTCTATCGTTGAGCTGGAAAGATGCATAAATTACTGGAACGACAGACCAATCCTTTTAGGTGGCGACTTCAATGCAAAGGCCACTATGTGGAGGTCCCCAAATACCAACGCTCGTGGTATATTTGTTTCAAACTGGGCCAGCAGTATTGGTCTGTCGTGTTTAAACACAGATAATAGAAGCACATGTGTGCGCAGAAATGGAGAATCAATAGTCGACTTAACGTTTGCTAACCAAAAGGCCTCGGCTAGAATCATTGAATGGCGAGTATCTCTTCTGGAGAGTGCATCCGATCATCGATATATTGAGATCGAGATGGGCAAAACGAGTTCCCAGAGACTCAAGGAAAGACTACCAAAGCCGAAAAGATGGTCGATCAAGAAGTTAGACGAAGATATTTTCAGGGCTTCACTATTGGCAGGATCCTGGATCAACAATTTTTTCCAGAACAATAACCCAGAAGAGAATGCACTCCACCTCCAAGATATTGTCACACACGCGTGTGACACAGCAATGCCTAGGGTCATCCCTAGAACTTATAAAGCTATGCCTTGGTGGAGCGAGGAGTTGGAACTACTGAGACGTGAATCCACTAAAGCTAGAAGAAGGATCAAACGGAACCGAAGGTTTGAAAATCTCGAAGAACAACAAGATCGGATATTAGTTGTGGAGGCATACAAACAAACGATAAAAAACCTCAGCAAAGCCTTGAGAAAAGCAAAGGCTAGGGCCTGGGACGACTTTGTGGGAACACTTAATGAGAACCCATGGGGCCGCCCATACAAAACGGTCATGGGGAAACTTAGACGATGGACTCCGCCTTTTACTGAATATCTGGAGGATCCCATATTGAAGAGAGTACTGGAAGGCCTATTCCCTCCTCCATTAACTAATGTTGGGGAATGGAAGGAGGTTACATTACCTCGAGTAGGATACCGAATTTGGGACGATAAATTTGAAGTTACAATCGCGGAAATGAAAGCTGCGGTAAAGAGAATGATGGGAAAAAATTCTGCTCCTGGCCCGAATGGGATACCCTCTAGGATATGGGCCATTGCGATTCCAGAAATGGCGCAAAACTTTGGGAATCTCTACTCGAGATGCATGAGGGAGGGTATCTTCCCTTCCATCTGGAAGAAGGCCAGTCTCGTCCTTTTGAGGAAACCGGGCAAACCGGAAGACCAATCTAATGGATACAGACCAATATGCCTACTAAATGATGAGGCTAAAATATTCGAAAGAATCATTGCGGAAAGGATTAACGAACATCTAAATGGAAGGGGTCCTAACCTGGATCCATCTCAGTATGGATTTCGCAAAGGTAGATCCACAGTTGATGCGATTTTGGCAGTCAGGCAGTTCATGGAGTCAGCTTTCGATCATGGACAAGTGATTATTGCAGTTTCACTAGACATTAGTAATGCCTTCAATAGCATCCCATGGGAAGTAATTGGCAACTCCTTAACGGAGCACAGAATTCCGTTGTATCTTCGGAAAGTCATTAGAAGTTATTTGAAGGAAAGAAGCTTGGTCTTCCCCAACCGTAATGGAGGTCTCAGTTTAAGGACGGTGGAGAGAGGGGTCCCACAGGGATCTATCCTGGGTCCTTTGCTTTGGAATCTGGGTTTCAATAGCATCATGAAGAGGGAGGATCTACCCGAGGAAAGTGGCGTAATCTGCTATGCAGATGACACGCTAATCTTGGCATCTGGAAGAGATTGGCAGGAGGCATCCATGTTCGCTGCAGAAGCTACGAATATTGTTGTCCAACGGATTGAAGAACGTGGTCTTTCGGTAGCTCTCAAGAAGACGGAAGCGGCATGTTTTTATAGAAAGGGCAAACCTACTAAAACTAATATAAAAGTGGCAGGAGTAGAGATACAGATCAGATCTAGCATTAAATATTTGGGTCTGCTATTAGATAGTAAGTGGTGTTTTTTGCCTCATTTTACCGAATTAGCTCCAAAAATGGAGAGAGCGTCTATGGCTCTTTGTAGGCTCCTCCCCAACATAGGAGGTCCGAATAATAGGGTCAGAAGACTCTTCGCTAACGTAGTGGCATCAATTGCCCTATACGGAGCGCCGGTGTGGGCTTATGACATACTTAAAAATAGAAAGATACTATCGATAATGAGAGCCAGCCAGCGAAGAATGGCAGGTCGAGCAATAAGTTCCCTTTGAGTTGATGGCCCAAAAATATCTAGAGGTCTATGAAAGGGTTGCCGAATTAAAGGAAACGGTTGAAACTATGATCCATCCAAGGATGTTGAATGGAATTCAAGAGATAGCCCAATGTAATCTTATAGACGAATGGCAAATATGGCTTAGAAGAGCAGAACAAGGCAGAGGTACAGTCTTAGGCGTAATAGCATCACAACTACAGCAATGGATTAATGCTAGGATAGGTCTTCCATTCCGATCTACTCAAATAATATCTGGTCATGGATGTTTCGGTAAATTCTTACACCGTATAGGTAGGGAGACGTCTAGTGCGTGTTGGCATTGCGACTCTGTGTGCGACTCCGCTTCACACACATTACGTGATTGTCCAGCGTGGGCAATCGAAAGGGCTAACCTCTTAAGGGAAGTGGGGGATTTGTCCTGGGAAACTCTGATTCGGGCCCTTTACAGAGACAAGGGCAGGTCGGCCTTTGTGACATTTGCCGAAAAAGTCATGCGAAGGAAAGAAAATACGGAAAGACTTAGGGAGGGAATGCCAATGTAAGCGATTCTAGATTAGTAGTATGTAGAAACTGGTATAAATGAGTATACAACGACGGAATGAGTGAATGTATGTATGCACTTAATTAGGGAAATTATAACTAGGAATAAGGGGGAAAGCTCGAACCGAGTAGCGGGACGGGCAGGGGATAGATAGCTTACTAACCCCGACTCTGCCAGTGGGGGCGGAGCTTCTTCATCTTTATATTAGCTCCCCTACTGGCAGCCCAATTCATATACATTGATGTGAATATAGGAGAGCCATAACGATCGTACCGAATAGCGGGACGGTCGGGCTAATAATTAAATAACGATTAATAATACATAGTAGGAAGCGGAGTTGGGCTTTGGCCCAACCCTCCGGGGGCCCGTGGGGTGGATGGTGGGGGCACTCCACCCCCTCGAGACGGGCTAGGGGTAGATTAAGATAAATAGGGTGTGGGCGAATCTCCGGCGTAGGTTCGCCTACTCTGTATGAATGTGGTAGGACTCGCTTTAGTGATGGGCGGGGGCCCAGCCAGAGGTATTGCAGCTGCGGAGTTCCTGGCTGGGTCCCACAACGCGCGCGGATAGGACGCCCGCTGAGTTTTAGTCGGTAGGCCCCCGATGGTATGTAACATCGGGGGAGAGTCCGACATAATCGCTCACCTAACCCCCTAGGTGAGCGATATGCGTAAAGCATTTCTCAGCGTCAAAAAAAAAAAAAAAAATAGGGTGCTGTCCCATGGGCACGGAAAACGAAATCGGAACACGGAATCGGAAAGGTGAAGTGGTAGGGGCAACCAATCATCATCGTTCCGTTCCGATTTTAAATAGCCTGACTCCCCATGGGGCATATTTTTCGGAAACGGAAATTTTTTGTACACTGTCGGTCACTAGCAATTAGGTTAAGAGTACTGAAAAAGTAGAGAATCTCATCTGTAAGTATTGTAATTATATGTTTGCTAAGTTATTTTATATTAGATTATGGTGATAGCCTTGCATACATTTCTAACCTAACATTATATATACAATATCCCAAATATCCAAAGAAAAGAAATTCATTATTATTATGTTAATATTATGTCAATTTGACGTTATTTTGGTTTTTTATTGATAATGACCCAATCGGCATCGAAACATCTGTACATTGTTTACTAAGATTAAACTAATTGTTTTGGCTCGTAGCCTTTCTTATTATTATTACTAGTTTTATTATTCTTGACCCATAATATATTAAATATTTTTTATTTGATTTTTGAAGGAAAAGATGAAAGCGACAACAGCACGATTACTGCTTATAAAAAATATAATGAAGTGGCAAAGTACTCCACAGTTATCTTGGCAAAGAGAGTTTCGAAAAAGACAGCTGCTGAAAGCTTTTGGTATTTATAAAATGTTGAAAAGAATAGAAAATCTGAAGATCCAACGACAATTTTGGGTGCGTCCAATATTTACCGAAGAACGGAGGAATTTGCAGGGAGCAAGTGATAATTTAATAAGAGAAATGCAATATATTGATATGGAAAAGTATATTGAATATCTACGCATGGACACTTTAACATTTCATGAATTATTACATCTCATCGGGCCGAAAATCGAAAAGCAACATGTAGTGAGAGCTCCAATATCCGCTTCTACGCGTCTGGAAATATGTTTACGCTATCTAGCATCAGGAGACAACATGTCATCAATTTCGTTCGCTTTTCGAGTAGGACTTAATACAGTTTAGAAAATTGTATCAGAAACTTGTGAAGTTGTTTGGAATGCATTAAAAGACAAAGTTTTTCCTGAAATTACTGAAAATTTTTGGAGAGAAAAGGCCAGTGAATTTGAAACGCAATGGAACTTTCCTAACTGTATTGGAGCAATAGATGGAAGGCATATGACAATAACCGTATGTTTTTTTTAATATGATTTAATAAATTTTTTCTTATCTTTTCATTAAATAATAAAAATAACTTTTTATTCGTATAAAAAGAAAATAATTTTTTTGTTGTTTTTGGCTCCACCTCATAGTGATTCAACTTATTTTAATTATAAAGGTACTCATAGTATCGTCCTCCTAGCAATCGCAGATGCAAATTACTGTTTTACAGCAGTAGATATTGGAGCTGAAGGCAGACGAAGTGACGGAGGCATTTTTATGGAAAGCAAAATTGGACGTCATCTTATCAATAATACATTGAACTTACCTCAGCCAAGATCGATTATAGAGAATGGTTCACAATTACCATTCGTTTTAGTGGCTGATGAAGCTTTCGCTTTAACATCTTTTATGATGCGACCTTATCCACGTGCCAACAATTTAAATTTACAGCAGAAAGTATTCAACTATCGACTTAGCCGGGCTCGTAGAATTGTGGAATGTGCTTTCGGTATCCTTACGGCGCGTTGGAGAATTTTCCGACGACCTCTGTCAACAAATGTAGACAAGCAATCGCAATTGTAAAAGCAACAGTTTGTTTGCATAATTTTCTGATGCAAAAAGATCTCGCGGTTCCTACTGAAAAAAAGACAATATATGTTACGTCCTTCAGAGCACTTAAATATATGTAGAAGTACTTTCCAAGTATTACATTGCTCTGATAATACAGAAAAAAATAATATAATTCAAAATGCAGTGGACATTCGAGATGCATTCACAGAATTTTTTTGTACTGCTGGAGTTATATGTAGAACAACAATGGGACAAGGCATTATACAATGACATTTAAAAATCTGCAAATTCATTTATTAAATGTCGACATTATATTTTTTCATAATAATAAAATATATGCATAAGAGATATCTTCAATCATTCAATAGTCCCAGCCTTTCCTCCGCTTCACGTAATTTCATTAAAAACTCCAACCCTAACTTAGACCTTTCTTTGTAGGGTAGTCGACGCATCCCTTCTGCCAATCGTAACATAAACCCATCAATAGGGCTGGGTTGAATATTCATGTTTAAGAAAGCTCTATCTAAATCGTTAATATTATTTGAATGTCGTCTTTCTGAAACCACAAATAGTATATTAAATTATTAAATACTGTAATATTTTCTCATATCAATATACATATATTTCTATTTCAAATATACGAACTTCGTGAAGATGAAGACGCTGCAGAAAATTCAGAGACAGGTGATGGCGTTAAAGGTGGCCTATTTTCTAAATCTAAATTATTATCATTACAAAATAAATCTGAAGAAGAAGGTGAAGAAATAGGAAAATTATTTGTTACTTGATCTGTTGCTTTTCTATTTGGTATTCTTACAGATGTGCATGTCCTGAAACAGAAAAAAATAGAAAATAAATTCAGTTATTATTTCAAAATGTTATTTAACACATTCAACATAACTTACTCTTTATATTCTAATGTGTCATTAAGAAAACTCATTGCATCGTAAAAGCGGAAGGACGGTTTATTTCTTTCGTTTGTGGACGTACCAGCGGCACCACTCTTTTTTTCAATACTTTGTATTTTCTTAAAATTCCTCCTAGCTTTTGTATAGCAATCTCTTAAATATTGCCATCTTTTTTCTGCGTAAGCAGATGAATATGCACCTAAAATATTAATTTTGAAAAAAAGTGCTTGAAAATTAATGTGCGATGAATGTTGAACCTCCTACACAATTTACCTCCTACACAATTGCTGACTTCCTGCCATAGGTCTTTTTTCTTTAATTTGGTTCTTTCTTGAGTTGGTATTCGATAATCATACAAGGCCGGTCGTTGTTGAATTAAGCTTATCAGCTCCTCATCTAATACTTGTGCTTCTGGAACATTTTCATCCATTGTTTGATCTTGTGAGCTTCCACAAGCTGATGTCTCCATCAAATTTTCTTGTACATTTTTATCTAAACAATAAGAATGGAAACTCATTATTGATAGTAACAAAAATTTCATACTGTTTAGTTTACATTTTAAAAATACTATATGAGAAATTTTTTATACTTGTCATGACAACTTTTCCTGTCTCATTTATGCTTAAAACATTGTGTGCTTCGTCATAAGTACTGAAACAAGAATGTTGAAAAATATTGTCCATGTTCAGTATCCAGCCACAGTAGCCACATTTTACTTTCTAATAATAAATAAATGATATTAAATAAATTAATCAAAATAATTATATTGTACATATAATGTTAGGTTAGAAATGTATGCAAGGCTATCACCATAATCTAATATAAAATAACTTAGCAAACATATAATTACAATACTTACAGATGACATTATCTACTTTTTCAGTACTCTTAACCTAATTGCTAGTGACCGACAGTGTACAAAAAATTTCCGTTTCCGAAAAATGTGCCCCATGGGAAGCCAGGCTACTTAAAATCGGAACGGAACGATGATGATTGGTTGCCCCTACCACTTCACCTTTCCGATTCCGTGTTCCGATTCCGTTTTCCGTGCCCATGGGACAGCACCC